AAATTCGAAACAAACCAGCTCTACTGCACAACGTTCGTATGATATGCTCCTTCACAGCATCCACTGCTTGGCCAACAGTAGCTTTACTTGGGACTGCAGCTTTTACAATTGGATCGGCAATTAAATCGATCGTACAGAATGAAGAAATACGGCTACTCGTCGATTCTTCTTTCTTGCCTGCACACAAAACGATGAATATTTGGCAATTTTTAAAAAAATATCGCACCGACTGCCGGTGACAAGATGCGTTTTTTGCACAGTTCCTCGTAGTTTCTGTCGCTAATGGCACAGATGCTTCTAGCTAAAAGAATTGAGACCATCTTCGAGCCTTATTTTATGCCCTCACTTTATAATGAAAAAGTCGATTTTTGACTTAAATCCTCTTTTTTGGCAAATTTTAACAAACATCGCACTGATTGCTGGTGAGAAGATGCGTTTTTTGTAGAGTTCCTTGCAATTTTTATCGTTAACGGCACAGATGCTTCTAGCTAAAAGAACTGAGACCATCTCCGCTTCTTATTTTACGCCCTCACTTCACAAGTAAAATTTCAACTTTTGACTTAAATCCTCTTTTTTACGAGAATGTCAACCTTCTAGTCAAAAACTATCCTCCCTTTGTCTTCATGAAATTGGGTTTTGCAGTTATTTTGTTACATCATGACTTCCTCCTAGGTGGGTCGTGTATTGGCGCGAAAGCGGCTTATATAAGGCCGCCGTATCTGTATTGTAAAGTAGTTGTGTTAAGCATGTTAGTAAAAGTTGGGCCGAACAGTAACTCGAATAAAGACTCGAAATGCGGAAAGTATAAAATCAGAGCCAACGAGAAAAATTTCAGCGCCTAATATGAATTAAAATCCAATCCCACGCATTCTTCAAAGTTTCGAGGAGATCCAATCAATAACAGCATCCAGGAATGTTTCAGATTTGAAGGAAAATATGCCTTTTTTCAGAAATATCACTAACCAGTGACATCCAGGAATGTCTCAATGTGAAATTTATTTTTGCCGCTAGCTTTTTTATCGCGTGGTTTCAATGGTTCATCACGTGATCGTAAACATCCATCCACCAGTACTGTATCTGTTGCCAGAAGCTAAAATAAATCATCTTTTTTAGGAAGTAAAAATATTGCATTACAAAGAAATTTACAAACTTTTTATCCTTTTCAACTACTGTAAATTTATAAATGAAAAATTGTTCCCTATCTTCTTCTTCCTCTTTTTTTTTCTTTCTTCCTTCCTTACACTTCTTCTTTTTCTTTCTCTTCTCTGAACACCACCACTGTCATACTGACGAGGTTCAGTCGTTGTGTTGAACTAAGACTTATATGACTTAATGGACCGAAACGT